ATTGTTTCTATGGTTACTTAAATTAATCAAGGATTTATTAGAGGGTATTTCAAATTGAAATATATAGTTTGTATGGTTACTTAAATTAATCAAATTTAGTTTCAAGGATTTGTTGGAGGTATTTCAAATTTAAATATATAGTTTCTATGGTTTCTTAAGTAATTCAAATTTGGTTTCAAATTTATCTGATAATCATTGTGTGGTTTCCAAATGTGCCTATAAATTTACTTAAAATTGATTACTCGTTTTGTTTTAATTGTTAAAATAAATTTCAAAAATGAATTCTCAGTCTTCGTAGTGTGGATCAAATCTGACTTTTTATACGTCCCACATTGAAATGTTGTCGTTTTTTCAGCTAAAGTTAATATCCGATTTATACACAGTGCTTAAGGTCATGAGACAAAGAAGCCCTGTGTACATGCTTGTTAAAAGACCCATGACAGTGGGAATTCCCTCTACATCACACTGCATGGCATATGCCCATTTTCATTTGCCCATTTGGTGCAGAAAAGTAGGACGTTAAAATCTATTTCATATATAAGTTAAATATTTTAATATAAACTCAAAGGAGTCGTTAATATTTAATAGCATCAGTTTAATGTGTTTATAAAGGTTACTGTACTGTAATGCTACATTAGATCTAGATATGACATATCTTATGGACTTTAATTTATAGATTAAACGAGACTTACCTGTAAGGTGAAGTTTGATTGTAAATGCCCCCCCAAAAATTTATTTTCGGGCACTTATTCGTAAATTCGCTCCTGTATGTTTCGGAGAGCCATGGAGGCTAAGTGGGTAAGATAAAAATAAAGACTCTGGCTCGCTAGACAGGAAGGCGGTCGCGTGTTCGATCCCTGCATAGGTTGAGAAAGTTCATCTGTATTTTCCGGCGTGGTTTCCCCTTATCAGTGGTGAAGGACGATGGGCGTGACAAGGACGGCTGTCTTGTTCGGGATTTTCCGGCGTGGTTATCATTGGTGAAGGACGGAGGGCGTGACAAGGACGGCTGTCTTGTCGTTCGGGTGCGACAAAAAAACCAAGATCCTGTGCATACATTGGCGTGCACGTAAAAGGTCAATTGGCAGTTGGAATTCAATATAAAAGTAGGTCATAGTACCGCCACACTGTATGGCATATGGCAGTCTTCATAAGCCCAGGGCATTAAGCCTCATTTCATTTCTTGCGTTTTCATTGTTGTGACAATCTTTTCCTCGTAAAGATTACCATCATCGGAGCAATGGCAGCGCTCTATCAAAAGCTTTTTTATCACCTCGTCTACCTGTATCTGTTCTGTCCCGTTCTTCTCATCTCTATTCCTGTTAACTAAACCACAAAATTTTAAGATAGCCATCAACCAGTGGGTCTGGAATATTGAAACGTCAAGCATGTTCAATATTAAGATTTAGATAAAGAGCTGGCCATTCTAACTATATTTCAAAAATAGATAATTCAGAGGACCGACCGATCAGTCTTCTTACGTAATACTTGGCATCGTTGTGAAGCCGTTAATCTCTAGTTTATGTATTACCGATAATCCCAATTTTAACGAATACAACGAGTTTTAAAACCCATACAATACGTAAAAATGTTCGGTCCAGACACCCGGCGTGGCCTATTGTAGTATCATGGCTACGTTCATTACCCTGTCTGGGTTTCGGATTCTGATACCATTCCGGTGCCTGAAAATAAAAGTAGACCTATTGTACACGCAAAACCTTATTTTAATTGAGTCATGTTACGAAGGTAACAGAATATACGATTAGCTGTGACGGCTTCTTTGATAATCAAGAATCTAAACTCGATTACCCAATCAACATTCTTAATCTCCTGATATAACACCAAGGTGCTAATTAAGTGGTGAGATTAAAAACATTTATTCCCATAAAAGTTTAATATACAAGACCTACATTACTAATGTATGGACTGTTCTCTTTCGTTCTAAATTATAACACCGAGAGAAATATTAAACAAAAATTAACAAATATATGGCGTGGTTGCTATGTGATTTTTTTTTTGAACACAACGATATCTTTAACTTGCTTTTCCTCAAACAACCTCAAACGGATGTAGCTCAGTCAATTTTATATTTTAATATTAGTTATCTTTTTAAATAAAGCAACCGAACTCCAGTTGCCTTGACACCAAAATATTTCAAATATTAACCCTGAATAGCTCAGTCAGTTGTATAGTTTAATATCAGTTATCTTTTTAAATAAAGCAACCGGATTGCAGTCCATTTTGACACGGACAATTATTCTTGAAATGGTCGGGTTGACGTTTGAATTATATGGGTTGTTTTTTTTTTAAAACAGAAATCTGTTTGTAATATGTTGCAAATCTGAAGATACCAATAATAATGCATTTAGATATTCACACGATTTTTCAGTGATCACATTTTCAGCTTGTATGTATGTATATGAAATTCATTATTTCTCTTATCTGCTATCATATTATCTGTTTCAATAAAATTAGTGAAAAGAGATTTGTGTTGATCTTTTTTTAACCATTAGTTGTGATTCCAAATTTAATCCATACAATGATTCCAAATTTAATCCATACAATGATTCCAAATTTAATCCATACAGTGATTCTAAATTTAATCCATACAGATATCAAAGTGCCGTAAGTCCCAAAACATGTGCCAATCCGCATGTTATATAACGAGAATAAATATAAATTGTAAATTAAATAACACTACACATTGCGCCGTATTCTGCAGACTACGGCGGTAATCGAAATCGCCGACAAATACGCATAGTGTTGACTGCCATCCATTATTGTTTAAAAACATTTCCCGATCCGAGAATATTAGTAAATAATTAATTAATAATTTATTCAGAACGTAGCGACGATACTCACTAACAATACTCACCAGGAATTTATATAGTTAACAACTTCACGCTCTACTGGCGTCGGGTCCAGTTACTGACGCACATCAAAGATAACTGGCGGTTTAACCCTGATAGTGACCCAGATGTCAAATAGTGACGTTTTCTTAATTAGTCACGCTTTTGTCAATTCTCCCGCACGCGCCTGACTAGTGATGTGGTCGGCTTAACTCACATTTGTTTAATTACTCACGTTATTTTTACATACTGACACAAGTAAGGAATACTTACCAATTGACTTAAATACTCACCTTATGATTATTACTGACCATTTATAGGAATACTGACGTACGGTACAAATACTGACGGGTTTAAGCGACTACTGACAACACGTATATTTCTCACGAATTTCCATGAATAGTAACCACAATGAACCCTTTCTACTTCATATATAGATATTCTAACACATAGGCCAGTTACTCAATACTTAGAGATAGGTTCTACACACTATGCATGTTACCGTGCTAGTATCTAGAAGAGTTGTTATATAATAATCTGCGTTATGAATGGCGTGAGGGATCAGCTTATGAAACCATCTGTTATGGCGACTTCTTGGCGCGCGATGCAAGGAACTGTGGGTGAACCACTAGACACATCAACGCTGAATAATTAATCAATGCCTGATGTCATCGAATCAAAAGCCATTCGTACGACCTCTGACACGACCCTTTAGTACAACCGTTCAGATCTTCATGTAGTATAAAAAAACGAAACGAAATATAGATCTGTATTTTAATCGAGATTGCCACCTAGCAATTAACGTTTATTGTTCTACTACCAGACGTCCATCATTAATTATGAACACAACACTTAGTATAATCTATTGACAACTATGTACACAAATCTATAACATCAATCATGAGGTTATGTGGCTTCTATATCTGTGCATTATTTTGTACAGGTTGTAGAATTTTATAGTTACATAGCGGAGGTCGATCGTAGCCATGCTTGAAAATTGGGTTTTGAAAATTACACTATTTTTCTGGTGTGCAAAATGACCAATGGGTCAGATCTAGTTTCAGTCATTTTGCGTAGCCCTCGGTTTTGACTGGCATATATGGCCAACATGGAACCCGTGCACAGCACCCTTGTGAATTTTTGTAATATATAAAGAACTCAAACATTAGTTTCAAAGGCATTCAATCGTATTTCATGGAAATATTCAACACTTGTAAAGTATTGATGCAATGTTAACCTCATTTCATTCCATAAGATCAATGATGTGTGTGCTTAGACATATATGATAGATGTTATCATGAAATAATAACAAATAAAATCTCTTGGATATTGTTATTATCGAAAATATTCTTTATTATATTCTGATAATTGCTCATTAATCCCATCATTGTGTAGTTAATTACCAATATATCATATATTTATGTATTTCTTCTTCATTAATCTGAGATAATCTTTGTTATTTCACCTAGCTAGGAAATGGCTCATGTTGAACATAATATAAGGAATAGACTAATTGGACTTTCCTGGTTGGTTATTTAGTGACAAGACTTAATGTATAAATATCAGGAATTGCAGATAAGAGATCAACCAAAAATCATAATAGATTTAAGATGATGTATATATATTAAAGAGACAAATAGTGGCATCTACTTGCTGTGTCTAACCCAGATATCTCATAAAAGGTCTGATTACTGCATTATAGAGAGACGGAGAGTCTGACAAAGACAGATTGGATGGCACAAAAAATGAGGCACTGTGTACACATTACGTGTACATAAAAGCTTATTTGCCAGTTGGAATTTGATATAAGAGTAGGCCTTAGAGCCGTTGTCCAGGCAAAATTTCCCTCATAGCCTACTGTATGGCATATGCCTGTCTTCATTAACCCAGCCAGAGCAGAAAAGTAGTATGTTACACCCCATTTCATTCATTTCATGCCTCTTGATTAAGCTAACAAAGCTTCCCCTTGAAACTGTGTAGGTAGTCCTGGGTCAAACTCTAGACTGCAGTGGTGATTGTGCTCCTTGTTGCACTATTATACCACCAATTTCTCATTTTGCATGTTAAAGGAAGAACTAACTATAAAGAAGCTAGTGCTAAACCTCCTGTTGCTTTGTGTATTATAATTAACTCATAATAATCTATTTTCAGGAACTGGATCTCTCACTGTGTTACGGAGATCAAATTCTCGTAAAACAGGAAGTTCAAGTAGTCGTGCCTCTAGTATAAGTATGGATAGTGCTGACAGTTACGCTAGTGTTGACCTGAGTACTGATAAACTTCCACCCGTAGATTCCCCGGAAGCTTCACATATTTGCTCTTTACGGTAAGATTAATAACATTCAATATTTTCTTTAGTGCATTAAATGAAAACATTAAAGATTTAAATCCACGACTGCAAATTCTGTCTAATGATTTCAATTTTGGAATGAATTGTGAAATACTTGCTGTTATAAGAGATATCAAATGATCAAAACATACATTTGTTTGGTTGTAGAAAAAAAAATATTCCTGGTAGGTTTTAGATGTGCCTGTCAAATTATAGAATTTATGAATGAAGTCAGGTCTTCCCATCCCATAAAAATTCCAAAGGAAACTTGTTTTTAAGAATACATGAAAATTTCTGAAAAACATGATTATTGATTTTTTTTAACAAAAGTATGATTTTCAGACAATATTTGGACAATTAATTTTACACATCTGATCTTTTAGTATAGCATTTGAAATCTAATTCTGTATTTCTTTTTAAAAAATCCCAATGAGCTGTATGTTATTTATTTTAATGGATAAATAAAAACATTGTTTTCAAAATGTATACTGTAATAATGATCAATATAAATATACTTTAAACCTATTTATCAATAAATAAGTAGAATTCTTATCTAATGTTGGCATTAAATTGACGTCAAGAGTTGATACTAAAGGCATGTACCTATTACTAAATTAGAGCCCGATTAGGACCTAATTAAGTATAAATCTCAGCTTGTTAGACCTTAATTAGTGAGATAATAATTTGGAAAGAAGCCAATGTTGTTTTTTTTTATAAGAAGTCTTTATTATCTATAGGAATAAGGATTTTTTTCATTAGTAGCAGTAAGGTGGAGCGAGAGTGTTGGATTTATTAAAGGAACAGATTCTGTTGTAGTATTTACCAATTTTGTATACATTGTCTCATTTTGTGTGAATTTTACTAAAGCATTTAGATTTTGAGGGTTGTGCAATAACAGTGAAATATGTATTGATTGAGTTTTCAAGAACATTGATCAAATATTTTATTTTTATGAATGACATTTTTACACCAAGCTGTGCCTGTTAATACTTACAAAGTGTCCTAGAGCATTCTTATTTGTTGTATATTACAAAATGCTATGCAAATATATTCAACTGATGAGAGACTGTATTAGGAAATAATTTTGATTGCCTGAATTTGATTGTTAGTTATGTCTTTGTGTGAGATTAATCACATTCTACTCAAGTAAGTACCAAATCATTTATATAGATAAATAACCCCCAAAATGGACATTGGTATTAGTTAACAGATATCATGCATTGCAACGTTATCAAATTTGGCCTCTTAATATAGTTTGAGATTTCTAATGTCCTGTTTTTATTATTATAAGTAATAAAAATGTTCTTGCCTATTCCAGGTTACGGCATCTTATACGGCGATTAGAAAAAGATGAGGTATCGAAGGAAGATTTAAAGAAAAATTTAGAATATGCTTCCTCTGTGTTAGAAACTATTTATATTGATGAAACAAGGTGAGCATTATATTCTCTTACATCTCTGTCCATCTTTTTCCTTCTCCTTTTCTCCCTTTGATCTCTCCCTTCCTCCTCTTTTACATTTGGAATGAATAGTTTTTTGAGCATTTGATATTTTGAATAATCTTTTTTTTTTACAGCTGGATATTATGCAAATTTATATTAATCCTAAATTATATTAATATTGAAAGTTTGACTGGCTCCTTGAATGTTTTGTTTTTTTGTTTATTTTAAAATTCAGATTTTGGATTTAAAATTTTTGCTATTGGACTTTTTCCAGTATTTGATCTATATTCGTCCTGGCCTATCAACTTTTCAAAGAATCTCTTATTCATTCTATATTCTTGGAATTTAGCTTACTTTAGATGTGAATTCCTATATCTGTTTACTTTGATTACAAACTTTTTATTATTGGATTATCTTCGGGATTTTATATTGTTGGTTAATATTTTAGCTAAAAAATGACTCATTCTAATGATACATATACTGGTATGTCTTTAATTGACCTTTTTATAATGCAATGTTTTATGGAAATTGACAAAAGTTGGTTCTAGTATTAACATGTTCTTCTGGATTTAAGATTGTAAGATTCTAATAAATTCACGATGTTTGTTGCTTAATAATGAACAATGAATTGCCATGTGCATTTCTTATCTTTCTTGAAATTTAAATAATTAATTTGTTTTGAAATATTAAGTGTTGCGATGGTCATGATTAAACATTATTTGAACTGTACAGTATTGATTAAACCTCTTCTGTTCTGAAAATAATATGGATGGTTACGCGTACCTGTTACAGTGAATACAGATTGTAATTTTCATAATGAATAAAATTGTGTTGACATTAATTCTCTAATGACGCTGATGTGTTACTATAAATAAATGTGATTGAACTTTTAACCCTAGTTAGATATATGTATGAAGATTAATAACTATTCAGTTGATTGAAAGGTAACTGAGTTACTACTGCTTTGACTATTGATTTAGAGAGGCAGATGGATTTGACCACCATCTTAGAATTTGACATGGTGTATGTTGTTAGTTTGGATACATACCAGTATGTAGGCCTAAAGAAGATGAATTAGAATAGATAAAATTATAGTATGTGTAGAGTTAAAAAGTTGGAAGGCAAATGGAATAAACTTACGCTGATGAAACATTTCATCATCTATATTTCTCCACTTATTATACCCTTTCCTCATTCCATGCCCACTTTTAATCTTTACTGTCCGTCTTTTAGCTATAGTGGTATCAGAGGTCTTAAATAAAGTATAATCATATGCCTTTTGTACGATACTTATAACTAGTTGAAATATAGCAGTTGTTAGAACATGGATGTTAGCAGTCACAGCCACCACCTAATATAAGGTACTGTAACCTAGGGACAAAGTCATAATGTTACAAAGTCAGTCAGCTGAACTTCTTTTCAGGATTTCTTCTCTACAATGGTTTTTGTATATTTCTTCCGCATACACTACAGATTCAACTCCATTCCCCATTTGTCCTGTTCCATGTTGTTTTTGCCACTCTCTTTCCACTGCACTCTACATTCTTTCTGTTTTTAAAGATCCTCCACACTTTTCCAATGTGCTCCGCTCAACCTCATAAAGCTGACAACCTGCCATGGAGTTTGACATCTGACATGTTCCCGATATAATGTGTCTCAATGATCAGAATGAGGGATCAGGATGGAAAATTGAAATAAAGTTGTGTTGTGATGCAGTGTTGCAAGGTTTAAAGGATTACAATTAACTGTTAAAAGAAAAACCACCACGAAAGGAAACAACATTAATGCTTTTGAAATTGGATAAAGCGTATCTCCTTGCAACTTAAAAAAAAGCAACAGTAGCGAAACTATCAAATGGAAACTCCTATTTAAATTTTAATTATACGTTTTGAGAGCCATGGTATCAATATATAAGCATCTCCAAAATAATGTCTGTCTAAATAAAAACTTATTATAGGATATTCAGACGCCCAAAAGTTTTATCATATGACTGTAAAGATATTTCTATATAGGGTTTGGGAATAATCAGATTCCGTCTGTCATTACTGCAGACAATTCAATCAGACATTAATTTGTTTATAGAAGAAGACATCAGATAAAATAATATCATATTTAAAGACTTTAGTTTTATTCTTTCATTTCTAATGAATAAGTTCAGCACCTGATGTCTGGAACATCTGGAATCTTGAAAGATTGGTCAATGGAGGATATTCAACCGATGAAGTCTCAAGATCAAATCAATGTGAATGTTAAGTGTATATAGGATTCTCCTACTAAATTTCTCATTTTTAGATAGATTATCAGAATCAGTTTTCGAATTTACTATTAAGGATATATTGAACCGAAAAAGTCCCAAGTTCTAAGCAACATCGATATGAGATGCAAAGTTCAGATCCATTCTTCTCAAGTTCTGTATATGATTGGCAGAAATTTTCTCTTGAAAAATTCAACCCTGAAAAAACACAACAACTGCACAGTCTAAACTTACCAAAATGGTCTGATGAGTTACATTTCTTTTCCTCGGATAAATGTGGAAAGTTTACAATAGATTCTATCCTTTATTACTTGTAGATACTAGTAATTTTTTGATTAATACCAAGAACAGCAATAACATATCAGTAAATTCAAACTCTGTAAGCATATTGGAAAATATTAAATGAAAAAGTAACCTTTCAAATAATTTACTCATTACCGGTAATGACTAAATAAAGTTAAATGGGGTTTAACATCATACGTTTCTGCACCCACTTGGCTATTGAAGACGGATATAATCCATGCAGTGCGCCATGAGGGAAATTCCAACTGTCAAAGGTTCATTTATATGCATGCAAATGTGTACACGAGACTTCAGTTATTTGTCTCATAGACACTGTTACTTGCCCAGCCCTCTGTCCTGCACCACTGACAACTGGAAACCAGACTCGAAAATCCTAAGAATCATTTTTAGACAACACTGATCCTTGGACCTACTGGTTAGTGAGCCAGTGCCTTAGTCACTGATAGAACCACCATGGCTCCAATCAGAAAATTAAGTGAGAGTTAAATTAGATAAATTTTGAAACTATATATGAGAAGTTAGCTTAAAATTTTAGTATGGTCCTTCCAAGAATGAGAGCTACAAAATTACAAACTAATAAATCAACAAAACAAAAAGATTATTTTATTAAAAATTGTGGAGGAAATCACCCAGGGGAATATTTCCTTCGCTTCCTCTTGGATTACTTAAGCCATTAGTATATTACTTTATGGTTTCCATGGATGGCTTCTGTCCGTTTGAGTCTCCCTTTTAGACGTTAAAGATCCCCAGGGGATTTTTGACACGTTTCCCTAGACAACATGACCATAAAAGGACACATCATTGGGATTAAATGTAGTCAAACCTTTTTCATAAAGTCATGTACGCTATGAAATTGTAGACAATCCAAAGATTTTGAGAAATTGATTTTCATAAACATTGATAATATTGATGCAGAATCCAGACGTCTTTCTTAATCTGATTTTATCCATGGTTATGTGGCATACACTTAAGATAATTATTCGCAGCATACTTGACAAATATTAGAATTTACTTATTAACTGATTAAAGTGTACATTATACTGCATTGTGTTTCACAAATTCTTTAAGACTCCAGAAATTCCAAATATTCCCCAATATTAGCCAAAGATAGAGTCTAAGGCCATACTCAATCAAAAGAACTATTATAATTACTAGGAGTACATATTTTTAAAATATATCCGTTTTATCTTAATAATTAGTCCAGAAGCACTGCACATCCAAACATTTAACTAGGTCATTTAGGGATTAACATTTTGTATATTATTATTTCAATCATTCGCTTGTAACCACGGGCCTTCAGATGTGGAAGGAGTCTGGAATATAAAGACAAACCAAGGTTATTAAGTCAACCATACTCCTAGTTAGTCTCTGTTTGTCTTTATGAAAATAACATTGTGAAATCGGTTTAATACAAAATTAGCCATATTAATTACAATCAAATTCTATATAATTCTTTTTTTATTATTTACACAGTATAAAAATAAAATCTATCTTTTTACAATTTTTAAATGTCAATTTCTAATTTCTGTGAACAAAATAGTAAAGCTCTGTAGGTCTATTTAGCATTTTCATCCGAACACCGAGCATTGATAGAGACCTACACATAACTGCCTTAATGCCATGTTTACAATAAACCATCAGAATGCTACTAGCCAAAAGACAATATGATATTAAAGTTATTAAGATTGTTTCTCATTTGGATGATTTATGGAGATAACTATAAGGCTTATAGTTGTTGCCATGACAACATGGAAGCCATGGCTAATGTAGGAATTGTGTTAATAAAGATAGATAAGAAATTGTTGACAATGTAGTGTTCAACTGTAAATATTACCATTTTTAAGCCACAGAGACAAGAATAATTTTGTAAATCAGTAAACTAAAATAGAAGATTTAGAATGATTGAAAACATGAGTTTAAAGTATTAACAATATGGGTAAATTTTTCATTCCATGAATAGATTATTTGTCAAATTCCCCATGCTAGAAATACATACAATTCTCTAGTTCAAAAGATGTAAAGTTGATATCATTTACTTATGAAGAAATACCTTTTATAAATGAAAATATTTGCCACAAACAGATCAGTGTTTGTGTGAAATGGCTTTATTTAACATCTGCTTCCACCAAAGTGAAAATGCAGACAGATCAGTAGTAGTATCCTGGTGTTTTACATCTGCTTCTACATAAGTGATATCGCAGACAAGAAATAGAGCCGAAGCTGCTTCCTGTTTTTAGAATATGATTTTGCAATCTTTCCATTTTCGGCCTTAGGCCATGGATTGGGTTTTGTGGGAAGTTCTTCCCTTTATTTAGTAAAAAACATATCGTTTGGTAGATGTTTTCTTCTGCTTCTGGATTGGTAGATGTCTTCGTAGTGGAATTAGTGTTTAGGTGCCAGGCCCGTCTTATCGTGACCTCCCCTTACTCCACAA